TGTTATAATATTGATGATGTGCATGTCAGTATTGTAGTTATTATGATGAAACTAAGCTAGCTGTATCTAGTCTAAATTTGTTAGTTGTATTTTATCTTTAAATTTGTAAACGTAAAATAAAATTAACAGATTAGCTTTACTAATTACGCATTGTTTCCTTAAATCTTTACTAATAAATGTTCGACGGTTTCTACTTAATGCTATTAAGTATACGAACTTTTGACTCGGACTCGTCGGGTATTAGATCCAATATCGAGTTCGAATAATAAGTGAAAAGACTCGAGGAGTCTGAGTCCGAGTACTCGGAATCGAAAAATCCTACTAGCAAGTGAAAAAAACGTAACCTGCTTAATTAAAATGAGTATGCCTGCATATTTGAAATACATTTTATTGCATAATTTATTATAGTTAGCAAACAAATGAGGATACTTATTATGTAAACATTTACTTCCTAATTAGTTTTTTATTTTTGTGCATTTTGTTTTCACTAGGCAGCAGTTATTGAATAAAATTGAATTCTGAGTGAAAGTAATGGTTTTTAAAAATCATATTTTAGGGCCATTTCGAGCGACTTTTAATCGTGCTATAAAAAAATCGCTGGTCTCCAATATCCATACGAGCGACAAATATGTAGCTGCGTCAGAAGTGTAGCTAACCGCGTAACGTTAAACGAGCTACAAATTGCACCTGCGAATAAGAAATATAATTTTACAATTCTCAGTTTTCAGTACGAAAATAAATTCTGTAGAACTTGCGTGTATTTTGCTACTTCTAGTGCGACTTCGTAAGAAAAGAATGCAAAGGCGATATTGAGTTTACCCATTGGTAGGCCAGCGGCTACTAAAGGGACAGTTTTATAAAATATATCATGATTTAAGAAATGAGCTTGAACAGAAATAAGAAATAAATGAGAAACAACAAACGTGTTTTTCATTTATCATGTAATTTTGAGGACTCGTGAACACACCTCATTCAGAAAAAAAAAAAAAAACCTCGAAGTGCACGTGGGAGTTGTGACAAAATAATTATCCATTTATCTGAACACATATAACAGCGTGTGTTCCATTGGTTATGACAGCATAGTTGCAAGCGACAGCGATTAGAATGGAACATGTTACGTTTTTTTTTGTCGCAGGTGTGTAACGGTGGCTCGTGTGTTCGAATCCACTGAAGTATTGCCATTCTAATTTCAATGACTTTTTTGTAGCAGCGAGAAAGAGAAAGATAGAAAACAATTTTATAATTAAGGGCACATTTATCTGCTTAGACGATACTGTCTTAAGCACAATTTTCCTATGTTATTACTTTTTGAAGTTTTTATTTATGTAGACAATCATTTATCAGTTTAGCAACTATTTATGCGTCCAATGCTATTTTATTATCATCTATTCATTTTCATGTCGTTTCTCTTTCCTTGTCATTGCAATATTCAAACTTTAAACTGTCTTTCATAATCTATTTGTCGCATATACATATTCTAATCATCTAAATTTGACTTGTTAATATTCGCAATTAACAATCAGAATAGATATTAGAAAGCATATAATATAATATGTGCTTTCTAATATGTATTCTTTTCTTTAACTTATGTTTTATCTAGCTATTTTTTAAAACTCTCCTATATTTGTCTGATCCGCTGTTTTCATACAACTTTCATTACTACATATTAAAATGGCAAAATAATTTTTTGGAATATTTTTTATCATCATATATTTTCTTTATAAAAAAGCTAATTTTTCAGTTGTTATCTTACTGTTCTAGTTTTATTAGCTTTGTTTTGTATCTCATGTTTCAGATTTTTTTTTCATTAACTGAAAACTTTAAATACAAGCTACAAACTTTTCCTATTTTTATTCATTAGTCGAAACCGCAATCGATTTTTCTTTTCTACAATCTGTTTTAATTTGTTTAATATTATGTGCACCAATATTTTATTCAGAAATCTTTTGTGAGTAACATGAAACACGATTCACTGCCAAAAAAATTAAGTTGTCAATGAATAGAAGTCTATTAACATCTTTAATTTTTTTCCATTTTAACAATCTGAAAGAATTTTTATTACATTTTAAAAGATTTTGTTGTTCTTTACAGCTTTCCCTTTACTCCACATTTTACTGAATAATTCAATAAGCAGTTTTTGAGAACAAAGATCAGATTTCTTTATATGAATTTTTACAGAATTTTTTAGAAATTCTTATTTTTCCGGGAAAATTGATGATAAAATTTGTTTTTTTTTGTTATTATTTTTACTTTTTAAACTATATATTGTTAATTAAGGCATATGCATCTATTAACATTAAAATTCTTAAAACTTTTATAATAATAAAGAAAAACCCTTAACTTGCTTTAATCAATTTTTTTAGCATGGAAGTTCACGAAAAGCTTTTAGTATAATCAATTCAATAATTTTAAGAACTCGTTTTTAACAAACATTTATTGAAATCGTGTAAAAATATTTTGATATTAGGTAAATAGCCTAATATAAGAATGTAATAAAATTTAATGAAATACGCATTGTTTTTATTTTTTATCATTTCAACAGTAAACATATTCAATAAAAACAAATGTCTATACAGTACATGATAACTTCATATAAGAGAAAGCAATAAAAGATGACAGGGTAGGAGAGTAGACGAGAGCTCTTTTTTCAAGTTTTGAAGCAGGTAGCACCAGTTGTCTTTGTAGACAATGAACGTTGAAGAAGAAAGATCACGTAGTTAAATTCATTCCGAAATTTAGTTTGAATATTTTAGAAAGGGGTTACTTTGATACCTAACGTTTTTAAGTGTCTGAATTTTTATGAAGTCAACGTAATATTTTTAATAAGCATATTTATAAAACAATTAATAAAATTGTTAATGATAGTTGAAGTTAAGGTCACAGCCATGTTTTATAATAAATTTTGTATTGTTTCGTAATGTTTGTACCTAAAAGTCAAGATGGGTTCTATCTCTCTCTCTATTTACGAGAGATAACCTATTATGTAAAGAGATGATCCTATTTTAATATAGGGAGATTACAATGAAAGAAAAATAATTAATTAATTTCTATGTTTCAGACACAATATCATTTATTATATTAAATGTATAAATATTGAATATTTTTTCGTTTACATTAAAAATAATAATGCATTTATTTACTACAAATTTATTATTGTCGTTTTTCGGTGAAATATCTACATCACTGAAGAAAAAACAAAATAAACTTTTTCATTTCTATAACATATTTCACCATATGGCGATATGCATTAATATATTAATATAGATCACCATATATTAATCGTATAATTAATTTTCTATTATCACGATTTTTAAAATTTTTTCCTAAATATACACTTTTTCGAAAGAGATTAACAATTATCGAATGTCTCACTATTCATTATTTGATGTGTCTTATGTTAATGGATAGAGAACGATTTTTCGAAATTTGTGCCCCTTTTCCTCGCTTTACCTTAAATTAAATAAAAACAAGATATTTTACGATCATATTAAATTAAAAATTTCAAGACTTTTCAAATTTTACATAATATTAAGTCTGTTTTTTCCAACTACAATTTCTTTTAATAAATGAAAATTATTTATATTATAATACGAGTATAATTTATTAATTGAAAAAATCTGGACGGCGAATTTTAACCAAAATCACAAACATGATAGAAAAAGTCTTCACTAAAACGCCTATTTCACACCACAGGAAAGTGTTTTAACTGGAGAAGTCGATCTTTTATTTTGGGTTTTCCTCTCTGTCTTGATATGTTAAAATCTGTAAAAATCCCTCTGGTGATGGTTCCTGTGAAGTGAAATGGACGTTCTAATAAAGACTTTTTGTATCTTCTTTGTGATTTTGATAAATTTGTTAGTTTATATTCTATTATATACAAATAACTTTTGTTTATTATTACATGTGATACGTCAAAGTATCCAAATCTGAGTACTTATTGACATAAATTCTAGAAATACGTTTGTGCCAAAAATGGAATAACTAGCACTTTCTTACTCTAAGTTATTCAATTATATTCATTATATATTAATTAATTTATCATAAAACAAATTTTCTGTATTAATGTGATTATAATTTATTATGCATTGAGGCGTATGTGTCCAACACATTAGTAATAACTAGTTATATATGTATTCAAAGTGTAGCTAATTTTATTATTTAATGTAATGAAATTATTAGGAATAAAGTCATAAATAAAAATTAAATATTTAATTTAGTAAGGTTTTGAACTGAAAATAGAAATCATAAGTCATTTTTCATCGAAAATAACATTTAAGTCGAGTTAAATTGTTAATGAGTCTTACTTTTGAACATTTAAGATGCATTTTTTTTCATACATATTTTTATAGAATTTTATTCTTTCTTATCTAAGATTCGTTTTATTACTATACCGTTACCTTAGGTGATTATAAACATACGATTTGGATATGAATTCAATTTGTTATCAAGAGTATTAAAAATTTCGAAAGTTACTTAATTTTGTTTTATTGGATTACTTAAATAAAATTATAAATTATTTATAGACATGTCTGGAATGAAGTTTTAGTACTAAGAATTTTGTAATTTAGTTCAATATTTACATCAGCACTTTGAATAACATGCGAATATTTCAGTTTAAAAATTAAGTTTTTATATAAATTTTTCTATAAATAAATTTATGTAAAAACTTAATTTTTAAAATTTAAATATAATTTTTCCTTACTAGGTAAAAAAGTAATTGTATTTATCATTATTTAATAAATGTTATTATTAAATAACATATTATAAATACTACTAGATATATTAAGTCAGATATTAATTCGTTTTATAAAAATTAAATTTACAATATGTCGGATCAATTTCTGTACATTTTATTTTTTCTTTTCTTTAGAAATAAAAAATAAATCGGTATCTGACCAATTTAAATTTAATTTCGTGTTTTAAAATTTTAAATAATAATTTGAATTTATTATACATAAAAATATATTTTATTATATTTTTAACGTTTAAAATATTTTCAGGAAGAAATCAAAAGATCAAGAATCTGATAGCGATTTACCAGATGATACGTCCAAAGCTAGAAATAATGTTAAAAATTTAGTTGATAGTGAGAATATAAATACAATTCAAATCAAAAGAACTCAACCCATTCCAACTCCAACGAATATATATATAGAAACCCGCGATAGATCATCATCTGTGCATGGATCAACAGTATATAGCAATCGATCCCCAGTATCTCCACGAGTTCGTAGTTTGGAAGAAGATATGGAGGCCTTACGCTTATCTCGACAAGATAATCCTTATATTCAACAAAAATTAGAAAGCTATTCTTTATATGGAGATTCCCGAGGTTCTATATCTCCATCATCTGTTTATTCGTCTTTGCAGAAACACGACGAAGAAAAACTTGTGTCTGAAGAATTTGAAGATTTAATAATTAAAGAAGAAAACGAACAAAATTTACACGAACATTTAATTCGAAGTCCGCCTCCAAAATTTCCGAAGAAAATGTCTCAGTTTGTTTTCCATAGCAGGACTGGTTCACCACAACATCAAGTTCGTGACTCATACGAGAGTATCCAAGACAACGTTAGTCAAGTGTCCAACCTAACAAATTCGAATAATACTCTGTTAAAAACAAAAGGAAGTCTATCCATGGTAAGTTGTTGGATTTTCATCTGATTGCAGATTTAAAATAAAAAAAATCGATTTAAACGAAAGTAATTTTTGAAAGGCTAATGATTCTTTAAATGCCATTTAAGGAAATCATTAATATAAATACAAAACTGATAACATTCTAAATGCATCGGTGTTCTGTAATTAATATAAAATGTAAGATTAAGCAGTTATCGTTAAGATAATAGTCACTCAATATTTACTTTGCTTGCTAATGTAACATTTTAATGCAGTTAAAAAAAGATTTATTTAGTGTTTTAGTAAGGATCGTTAAAATCTAAGGTATGTTACTGATAACGGAACTTCCGAAAGTATTTTATGTTCTCGACAGATTTTATTGATGGGATCTATCTATTCTATTCTGTTATCCGATTTAGAAATAAACGGTTTTCCATTGAAGCTGCAAAAGTATTAAATATTTTCAGGAAATGTTATTTTGGTTTCCGATATATTTTCCTATAATCTTACACCGTGTTTCTAATTTATTGTATTAGATAAAACTTTGCTAAAATAACGTATATGTAAAAAGAGTTGAAAGATTTTTATTATTACGACTGTTAATATATGATACTATATTATAAATTCAAATTATAAAATCTTAATTGAGCTAAATAATAATTTAAGTTTTCGTAAACTTTTGTTCAATTTAAAATATAGAAATGATCATTAATTTTTGCATTCTACTTTTTATATGATAATGGAAATAATGAATATAATTTTCTTGAATTGAAGAATCACAATACTTTTTCTTAACAGTTTATTTATTTACCACGGTATGTATTTTAATTTCAAGTGTTGATCTGAATTAAATTAGGAAAAAATTTTAAAAGAATTTTATTTGAAATTTAATAACCGCTTAAAAAGTGCAAATTTTAAATGATTAGTTTTTATATTTAATTTTCTTGTTATTATTGACTAAATGCAAGTTATACTGCATAAAAATAAGATTATGTAACAAAATACATTTTCAGTTTAAATGTTAGCAGCAATCAATAATAAGTCTTTCAACAGCAATAATGATCTGTTTATGTAATAAATTAAGTGGTAATTTTAAAATATTACACAACAAATATATTTTAAATATCTTCATATGAAAATAATAAGATTAATTATTGTATTATAATACTTTAAGAAATAAATTTTTGTTACTTTATTCTACATTAATATCTTATTTTATTTTATATTTATTAATATAATTATAGTTAGTTTATTATATTAAAATTAAGTAAAATTTAATTTTATTGCATTGGGGAGTTTACTAAAATATACTTTTAGAAATAACATACTGGAATATTATTATAAATTTGTTTTTGTTCTAAAATTTTGAGTATTTATAATGTTACTCCTAGTCCATGTAACAACCAGTAAAATTTTGACATTTTTTTTAATGAAATATTTTCGTTTCAGTTAAATAGATCTAATCATTAAATTATTATTATTATTTTTTTTTTTTTTGATATACAATATAATTCAATATAAGATAAGAAAAATATTTAAATTCTTTTCAAATGAACAAGTCTTTCCTTTTGTAAATAAATTAGAAGATTTTGTTTAGTATTTTAGTTTTAAATGTCATTTATTTTATCTTTATTGTTACAATCGTTACGTTCACCCGCCTGACGACTCTACTTTTTATATAATTAACTTGTATAAGTTTTTTAAGACGTTAGTTTCCCTATTGTATATTTTTTGTTGCCTTAATAGGCCAATGAATAAATACAGAGTACAAATTTCGATAATTTCTTATTTAAATACATCAAATCAGATTTTGCCTGAATTGGCCATTAACAAATTTTAAAATTAAAAAAAAAAATTGTAATTTTAAATCGTGTATTAGACTTAGTAAATAAAGAAATAGAAAACTCTTAAATGGGATTTATTACTGATAATGATTTAACTGAAATAATTTCTATGATAGAAAGAGAGTATTAAAGAGAGATTATTTCTTGTATTTTAAAATATAAATATAAAATGTAAACGATTACTCTTTTAGATTCGACTATTTTAAAACATTTAGAACATTATCAACAAGTAAAAGACATTGTATTAAAATGTTGCAATCAATTTAATAATTTGATTAAGCAAACATAATTATTAAAAGTGGATTATACAAATGTTTAATGTAGAGTATCCCAAAATTAAATATTTAAATATCGTTAAAAGTTTTATTATTTTAGTACAAAACAAAGCAAAGCAAATTAGTAATAATCAGGGTTGTTTTTTCAATTTATTATATTTAAGTAAAATTTATTATATTTTATTAGTTTTAAAAAAATGTATTTATTATTACACTCTAAAATCTTTAATAAAATACTTTTTCAACGTGGAAATTACAGTAATCTCTCCATTTATACAAATTCATTTTAATGCAATTGAAAAATTGTTTATTTTTGTTATCAGTAATCTTTCATATGAACTTATATTTTAAAAAAATCTGTAGTTAAAACTTCTCTACCGTAGTAAGAGTAAATTCCTATTTTATTGTCTCCCGTAATTTCATTTACGCGTTATTTTCGTGGAACTAATTACTCCCTTAAATGGAGAGACTTCAAAATAAAAATAAAACCCTGAAAACCCTTTTCGCGTCAATTCTCTCATTGATTCAGCTAACAAGAAAAAAGGAAAAAAAAAATCGAAATTTCTTGTAGTCAATGACTTTTAATATTTCCTTTAAGTAAAGAAATATATTAAGATTCTGTCAGTCATTTTTTCGCCTGAATAAAATTGGTAATCTAATTCGAATCATTTTAGATGATATAGTTAATATTTAAGCGTGATTATAATTATATTATTTATCTTCAAATTTATCTGTTTGTTTGTTTTATATGATACGGTATATAATAGACATAATACTTAATAAAACATCATCATTGTTTTTCATAATCAAATTTATTTTTATTATATTTTAATCAAACTATTTTCAATTAAAAATGCAATATAAGAAAATTATTACATATAGAATTATGTAAACTATATCTAAAAACGAACAGCACATCAATTGAACAGTTCCTTCATATGTAAAGCTAGCCAACCAAAGATAATAGACTACCATTCTTTATATTTACACACTGGCGCATTATTTAATATTCAACATTGTAATGCATTTTTTAATTTTATTATGAATGTAAATATTACATGAATATAAATTGAAAGTAAAATATGTGAATCGATTTAAATTTCACGAAATAGAATTTTTAAATTCGAATTGAATAAAATGTTTAAACAGCCTCTAAAATATTTAAATACTCGTAAATATACGGGTATATCTTTGTCAACATATTACACAGTTTATCTCTATAATTGGATTTTTACATATGTCAAGAGCTATGCCATTAAAACAAAGTTTAATCACTTCGGGTTTGCTAATAAATAGAAATGAATATAAAAATTAATAATTCTTTATTTAGCATATAATGAATTTTAATCTCTTATTGGGGGTAATACAAAATAGAAATAATCAAGAATTAAAATACAGTAGAACATCGATTATCCGACTCAATTGGGGACTGGGGTTGGTCGGATAACTGAAAAAACGGATAACCGAAAAATATGAAAAAATACATTATTAGTATATCTCATGTAATTAGTATATTAGTAGGCCTATATCGCTATTAACCTACTTCGCGTTGAATTTTCATCGATGTTAAGCCTAACAAAAATTGCTTTAAAATAATAATTGTCGCTATTGTATCGTTAAAAATTAGAAAATTAAGCCTCGTTTAAATACTGGCTTCCTTTCATGGTCGAGCCATGTTGCCAGCTAAAACACGTAAAAATAATATTAAAGTAGCCAAGACATAGCCAAATATTGTAGTGCCACATCACTAGCGGACATTTGAATTTGCCGACTAGAACGGTCGGTTAACCGATATGACGGTTAATCGGGGGTCGGATAATCGATGCTCTACTGTAATAACAATTAGTTATTGAAATTTTAATTATTTTCAATACTCTTGATCTGACACAAAAAAATATAAATTATATTTTGATTATTTTGATGTTTTTTGGTACATAATTACCGAGTCTAAATGAAATAATTATATTACTTTAAAAATAATAGCCTACGTTTTTTTAAAGCTAAGTCTAAAAGTCTTTCTCTGAGTTAATTTCTTCCAAAAATTCTATTTTTTCCCCCACTCTTAATTTCTTTCTTTCTTACATTCACATAAAATGTTTTGTCGAAAATAACTTCCCACTAAATTTACAAATTATAGTACGCAGCAAGAATTTTTTGTTTATTATTAAATATTTTGAATTTAATCTCATTTTCATGTAGTCGTATAAAAATAGGGAATATTTAGAGAAACAATTTCAAACTTTTACCAAATTTCTTGTAATAAACTTAAGTACGGAGGAAATTACTGTACTAATAACTTTATTATTGTTTTTAAATGTATAAGCCTACTCTTATCTAACCTTAAACAATAAAAAATAACTAATTATAATCGTTTTTAATGTTTTTATTTTTTTCTTTCACTTTTGATATTTAGTATTAGTAACTTTGGTAACTGGTAATTGATAACTTTTTAAATCTAAATGTGAGAGTTATAGAAAAAAAGTTTTCGTCCTATTCTGATTTATATTTTAAAATCTGTATTTATCAACTTAATTCCTTAGAATTTTGATAATGGATAATTTTTAAGTTCCGTTTTGTTCTGTAATCTGACCTCTGGTGCTATATTTCCCGCTTTTATATCAGGTGCCTGGATGTTTAGTCATCTCGGAGTCTGTCTATTGATAGTCGGAAATCGAATCTATTTCTCTGACTTCATTGGCGCCAGTCTAAAATCCTATGAAATAGGTCCTGAATAACCACGATATACGCGGATATAGATAAGACTCTACATGTGCCAATGATTCACTTTTGCAAACATATGAATTTATGTCATCCAGTTCAGTTTCGAATTTGAGTTGGAATAAACTTATTATATTCATTCACTTTTTATTTTTAGTTCGTTCTTAATACGCAATACAAGCGAGAA